TATTGTAATGTTTATATATCTTTTTAACAAGTCATAATTAAAAAAATTTGTAGTTGCTGAGGAAGTCCCCAGTAAGGGACGAAACGTTCAACAAGGTCATAATAAATTGTTCATCAAATTTATTAAATGTCTTTAATTTCCCTTTGAAACTCTTATATATTAATATACTGTTGGGACAAGAATATTGATAATTAAATTAATTCTAATTTTTTTATAATAAATAAATTTTTCTTTCCTGTATATATTTGAAAATTAGGAATTATGAAAAAACAATTTAAAAACAAATAGAAAAAAATTATTAAAAAAAACTTCCCCCGAACCGAACTACTAACTAGCAGCACGAGAAGCGAACAAATTACTACTATTACGCTAGCGCGCCACTTGATAAACAGTCGCATTTAAGATAATATAAGCAGGTATACAAAAAGAACAAAACTTTTACAGCTTTTTTCTCAAAATTGGCTTCGCATTTTGATAAAATACTTTACCACGATAACACCCTACTAGTATACTACTAATATACCAAAGCTCGTTAAAATCCGTGAGGGCACAACCGTAAAGTCTCCTTGTAAGTTCGGCCAGCAACAAAGGACAAAGGCAGTCCTACACGTGGCCAGAATTCTTCTGCGTTTTTATGCCGAAAGGCTTTTCCCTGACGAGCCAAATAAAGTTTACTATTTAGTACTAGCTGGGCTCAAAAATATTGAGCTTATTTTGAATTTAGTTTCCTATCCTCATTCCCACCAAATATACAATCTCGATTCACACGTGACGGCATTTTCGCTCACGATAAAAAACCACTGGAGTACCGATTAAGGCGTCGGTCGCAACAGTTAGAATGAACAAATTTTAATAAACTTTACATTAAATTCAAATACAGTCCGTGCCCTAAACGAACAATGCTTTTCCAAGCTGAAAGTCTCGCGTTTTAAATACTCAAAATCACATAGAATGGAGTCTTGTAAAGTGCAAATGTTTCTCACATAGCTGTCATATCTTTGGAACGTTCTTGTTAATATTTTTTATAGTTAGAGTGAACAAATTTTAATAAACTTTACATTAAATTCAAATACAGTCCGTGCCCTAAACGAACAATACTTTTCCAGGATAAAAGTCTCGCGTTTTAAAAACTTATAATCCCATAGAATGAAGTGCTGAAAAGTAAATATCTTTCACACGTAGTTGTCATATCTTAGGAACGTTCTCGGTAATATATTTAATAGTTAGAGTAAACAAATTTTAATAAACTTTACATTAAATTCAAATACAGTCCGTGCCCTAAACGAACAATACTTTTCCAAGCTGTAAGTCTCGCGTTTTAAATACTTAAGATCCCAGAGAATGCAATGTTGTAAAGTACATATCTTTTACACATATTTGTCTGAAACGTTTTTGCGTCAATATTTTTTATAATTAGAGTGATCAAATTTCAATCAAATTTATTCTATATTCAAGTACACTTTTTGCCCTACACATACAATACTTTTTTAAGCTGGAAGTCTCACGTTTTGAATACTTAAAATCTTAGAGAATGCAATGGTGTAAAGTGCAAATCTTTCGCACATATCTTTCATATCATTAAAACGTTCTCGTCAATATTTTTTATAGTTAGAGTGATCAAATTTCAATGAACTTTATTTTAAATTAAATTACACTCCTTGTCCTACACGTAAAATACTTATTCAAGTTAATAATCGATTTGCAAATTCTTATAAAATGTCAAAAAATGCAATGCTGAAAATAGTGCATCTTTGCACTTTATTTAAGATGTTTAGGTAAAACTTTTTTATACTTCGGGTTAATAGATTTAAATTAATTTTATATTAGATGTAAGTACACACTTTAAATATTAAATGATTTCGATGTGATATTCTTTTCGATGAAAATTTCCNACTTTAAATATTAAATGATTTCGATGTGATATTCTTTTCGATGAAAATTTCCCCTCTCCGATGTCACTGCTGCACAGAAATGTTAAACAAATGTACATTAGTTTAAACAATTACATAAAAATGATAAAATGCTAAAATCAGATCGTTTTAATCTTAACTTTTATTGATTAAGTAGATTATTTCCTTTAAACACATGCTTTATACAATTTTCCATGCATATTTTTGTGCTCTACACATTTTGTAAAATATGTATTACATTATTATGTTACAATGTATATACGCATACGTATTAATTGTTGTAAAAAGTAGCCAAGGCTAATAATTATTGCATAACTGACTAACAGCCAGTTGATTCCGGTGTTTTTGTGATGCAAACGGTTTGATATGTTTTCGGAACGCCATTAATACGCTGCCGGGACGCCATTGATTCTCTAGTGGAGAGCCAATGATACGTTAGTATGTGACAATGTATATATGGGTCATTCCATGTCAAATCGACAAATTTTTTACCTGACCCCCTTTGATTTCGCTGAAAATTTTCTATCTTTTTCTACCCCCCGAAAGTTATTTT